GATGTTAATTTTATCGTTAAATAAAAAGAATAACTTAATCTGGACACTCTATTGTAGAATGGTCACTTGTGATGTCACTATGGGGTTAAAACTTGTCAAAATTGTTATATTTGATAAAACATTTCCGTTTTATACACATATTTTTTGGTCAATATAGATATGAGCCAAGGCATTACACCAAAATGTTTTATACACACCAGAATCTGTGTTAAATTACATCTTATAGCAAAACATTTATTATGTAAAGACTTGCCTTATATCAAAATATTGATAACAAAATATCTCAAAATGAGCTCGAGGCTATTTTGGCAGTTTTTGAAGTTTGCCCTTAATGCAAGAAATTTGAAGCCCCAATGCAAATATGTCATACAAAATAAAAATAATATAAATATATAATATAACAGACCAATGTCTTATGAACCACTGAAAGATGTTACTGGGCAGATTCATAATATTTTTAATTTTCAAATTGAGGAGGCTCAAATATGGCCTTATCATAGTTAAGTGTACCTTCTCCTTTGAACTGCGGCATGCAAATGGATAATGCGTGACAATTGGATATTGGAAGACATTTTGCCTAGTATCAGACCACTTGCGAACTCCAAGGGAGTTATGACAAGTGTTCTTTTCTTGCAGAGAGTTCGACACTCTCCCTTCACGTGGCATCGGGTGTTACATCTGCATTCTACTAGGACATGGACCATATTTCTATACCACAGTCAACCCTTAGGGTTTATATTTTCTAAAAACTGGAGCTATATATTTTCTATGATGTTCACTGTTTTTCAATACTTCCCGTCAGTGTTTGTTATTGTTATTTGTAAGGAAAATAAAACAACCAAAGAGTTAAGTAATTAAACTGGATAAATTATGTTTTATTGCGTAATTTGCTTTTAAGTCAGGATTTTCAAAAAGAATTAAAACTTTTCATTTTGTTGTTCAGTGAACTAACAAAAATTAGTACAGTGTGAAGACCAACTAAAGAAATAATTTTTCTTCCGTCATTTACTTTTAATCCCTGTCGAACATCTTAAAATAGTTTCTAATTTTCAAATTAATGTAAGGAAAGTCTGGGAATTCATTTCATATTTTTAATGATGTGTGTTATAAATCATAAATATACTAATGAGTTGTTGATTACCTGTGTTTGCTTAGTGTTTAATATTGGTATATTGATTGTTAAGGAGTAATATCACCATTGATTTTACCCTATTGGACTTTGTTAAATTGGTACTTTTCAAAAAATTGTGCAGAATTTATCTTTGTTTCAAATAAAGAAATACTTGGCATGAGTAAGGTTTTATCCTGTTCAGTACTAAAGTGAACATTTCACATGATAAGGTCCCTTATGGTCCATTTATACCTCTCATTCCCTCAAAATTATGGGGTAACTTTCACATATTGATGTAAGAAATGTGATTATAAAAGAGTAATTGAAGTGTTCAAGCTGAATGAACTATCCATATAAAAGTTTACTGACTCCATGGAGGTTTCAATAAGTCCTTACGTAAATAAAGAAAACAGTAGTATACCGCTGTTCAATAGTCATAAATCGATTTAACTGAAACAAATCAGGGTCACAAACCAAAACCGAGGGAAACACATCAACTATAAGAGGAAAACAACGGAACAACATAAACACTGAACTGCGACAACATACATAGAAACGGACTATTTGATAACAACTGCCATATTCGTGACTTGGTACAGGACATTTTAAGAAAAAATGGTGGGTTGAACATGGTTTTATGGCTAGCCAAACCTCCCGCTTATATGGCAATGTTAAAAATACTGCTAAAATGACAACATTACGTGACATGAATACATTACAACTAAACGCAAGAACCCTCAGGACAGAGACATACATACATAAACTTAAGGTTACGCCGCGTTCCAGAGAAGGATATAAAATGGATCCCTTTCAGTAAATAATTTGTTGTTACTGCTTCAAAAACATTTCATTTACTTATTACTGTATATTTTTTAAAGAATTACTTGGGAAACAGTTTTATATTACAGCCCAATATAGGAAATAAGGGTAAAGGCAGAAAAAGCTCCCCAAAACACTGAATATGGTTTGTTCTGCCTACTTATATTCTTGGTATAGCCCTATTTCAAGGCAATTTCCCCTAAAATATGTTTTTGAGACTCAATCCACTCAGAATATTTCATGATTGCTATGTTTGAGTGAAATAGCATGATATTTAAAAAAAAAATGAGAATACATACAAGGTCAAAAGTGCATATGCAGCATCTCATTTAATAGTAATACTACCATTGATTTCCCCTATTAGTCTTTGTTAAATTGGCACTTTTCAAAAAATTGTGCAGAATTTATCTTTGTTTCAAATAAAGAAATACTTGTCATGAGTAAAGTTTTATGCTGTCCAGTATTACAGTAAACATTTCACATAACATTTCATTGCATATAAGATAATAACTATCACCGGGAGTAAACCAATCAAATTTTCACCCCTTTTTTTCCTGTTAACAAGCTTTAGTAACCATGTCACCTGAAGTTTCCAAAATATTTTATAGAAACAGCAAAGAAAAAAAGAATAGTGCTTTAAAACACCCAAGACATATGGTTATGACATTTTTTTTCTGCTAAGAAATGCAGGGTTAGTTTCCTACAACTGTCGAAATCAAGGAACATTTTTTTTCGACCCTTTTTCGTATGAAACCGGATGTGACGTACTATGATTTGGTGGTATGACACCTAAAATAGAATCGTAGAATTCTAACACTTCTCTCACGTATATTTGGGTATTTGCATTTTTATTCATTGCTACTTTAACATGCCACTATTTCACGATTCGACCCTGCTTCACGTAACAACGTCATTGGCCGTCTTCAGGCTGTACACTGTCAAACTGAAGACGCACCACAGTTCAACGTTAACCAGAGCACAACCCGACGCCTTTGACAATTGTTAAAAGATCTGGATCTGTTGAAGATCGCACTAGAACTGATTGGCCACGCATAAATACTCCAGCCTAAAGATCGGTGTTTTCTGGTGTTCCATCAACGTAATCGAACTGTAACTGTAAGTGCTTCAACTATTGCTGCTAGTATTCCAGATTTACGGAGAATATTTATTCGTGAACACGGAATTCGGCCAATAAGACTTTAAGTAAGATCAGTTTTGACCCTGATACACTGATGTGCACTGGTTCGTTGGTGTCATAATTTGAGGGACTAAACGTTGGAAAAATGGCGCCGAATTCGGTTCAATTTGGTCAAGCAGACCTGTCCACAGGTCTGGTCTGGTCAAGCAGACCTGTCAAAAGGTCTGGACTGGTCAAGCAGACCTGTCTACAGGTCTGGTCTGGTCCGGTCAAGCAGTCCTGTCCTCAGGTCTGGTCTGGTCAAGCAGACCTGTCCACAGTTCTGGTCTGGTCGAGATGACCTGTCCTGGGAACAGGTCTGCTCTAGCAAACTTGTCCTTAGGTCTGGTCTGCAGCAGTCTTATAAAAGCAGACATGAGGTCTGGTCTGCTAGGGATAAAGTTAACTTACAGGTCTGCTAAAATTTTCCAAAGTTAACCTATAGAGCAGTCGTAAGGACTGCTTTAAGTTAACCTGTGTACAGATTAGGACCGCACCCATCTGTATGTGTACTTGATATTTTAGTCTTAGATACATGATTTTTGTTATTAGTTGTTATTGGCTTTGATCTAGCTGTCAGTAATTGCGAGTACTCTCAGATCTGTCCTTAGTGTCCTTTTTGTTGATAGGGATGAGGGATGGATAAATACCCTGCCACGTCCGGTCTGTGTTTATGTTTGATGTTTTTCTGCTTTGTATCGATCTGATTAGTTAAGTCTTTTTCAGCTGATTTTTATAGTTTGTTCTTCTGTTGTGCTGTATTACCACTGTCCCTGGTTAGGGGGAGGGTTGAGCGCTCACAAACATGTTTAACCCCGCCACATTCTTGATGTGTATGTCCCACATAAGCCTGTAGTTCAGTGGTTGTCGTTGGTTCATGTCTGTCATAGTTGTTTTTCGTAAATTGTTTTGTTAAAAATTAGGCCGTTAGTTTTCTCAATTGAATTGTTTCATATTTTTCATGTCGGGGCCTTTTATAGCCGACTAAACGGTATGGGTTTTTATCATTGTTGAAGGCCGTACGGTTGCCTCTAATTGCATCCACTTTATTTTAGCTTTAGTGGAAAGTTGTCTCATTGACAGTCATACCTCATCTTCTTATTTTTATATCAACAATATCCTACAATCGTAGAAACAACATAATACGCATCCAAGTGAGTTGTCGGCTCAAAGTTATAGAGACGATATTTTGCAGCCAGATATGCTCAATGTTATTTACCGACAAAGGAATGTGTTTCAGCAGGACAATGCCCGGCCCAATACAACAAGGGGAACCTATGAACTTCTGAGCTATAAACAACATTTATGTATTGCCATTGTCATCAAAGTCTTCTCATTTGAACCCCATAGAATATTTTTGGGAGATAGTTGATAGTCGCATCCGCCAACCCCTACTTTAATCAATGGACCAACTCAGGCAAGCGTTCCAACATGACTGGTAAAGGATACCACAGGTCCGAATACTAGATTTGATTCGTTTCATGCCAAAGAGTTGCAGAACAGTGTTAGCCGCACATGGTGGTCGCAACAATTCTTTCTGCAGTAAAAGATAGACTTCAGAAATATTGTGATGAGGATTATTCAACATTTGGTGTAAATCAAATGTGGATTCCAAAAAAATCCAAAAAATCCATTCCAATATTCTCATTCACAAGAATCATTATTGCAGTAGCTAAAATAATTAAAAATAACCATGTATTATAAGGATGGTTTGTCATGAAATGAGCCAATTGCTTGTCTATTATTGAAGATCGTATGCAGACCGTAATGTCCCCTGAATTTGTTGTGTTGTTGTGTTTCTGTCTCATTGACGTACTTCTAATATCTTATATATATCATGCTGTTTGTATGACTTAGCTAAGGACATGAACTAAGAATACAACAACGCCTAAGTATATCTTCGCATAATTTAAATTCTTTATTTTAGCAAAACATTGAAACCATGATACACATAAAATACATTAACTAACTTATCAAATAACTTTATTGTAAATATTAAACGGAAAAAGTATGATTAGGCCAATCTACCACCATTGCCTCATTTAGAGACCTCCAAAATATTGATGTCAAAATTCAAAATGAGCAACAGCCATAACCAATAAATTATTTTGTCACAACCTAGATGTCTTATTCAAGGATGGTGATTTGAGTCAATAATTCTGGGGAAGGTTGTTGTTCGTATTTAATTCAACGAAATCATTATGTGAAATGGCTTGTTTTTGTCAAATAATTCAATTCGTTGCTTCAGAAAGTGAAGAATATTGGGTAACTTCGTTAGTCGTACCCATAAAATGAAAATTACGTAACGTCATTGGCTGAATTTTCATTGTTTAGGACGTTGTTATTTAAAAATCACAACGTTAAGGTAGAACGAAAAATGGAAACGGAAAAAAATGTGTCAAAGAGACAACAATCCGACAAAAGAGCAGAAAACAGCCCAAGGCCACCAATTGGTCTTCAACGCATCGAGAAATCAGGCCCCCAGAGGCGGGCTTCAACTGACCTCGAAACAATAATGTATACTAGTTCCGCGAAATGGACGCAACACTAAACTCCGAAACTTACAAATGAACCACGTGAACCAAGTAAAGGTGTACAATTTTGAAAATATTTTCCATAATTCGTTAAATTCTGAAATGGATAATCATGACATGGTTGTATATGATGTACGACTGCGTTCACAATGCCCTTGTGAAACATTGTGGCATACGCAAGTTAGAGTTTTGTTATAATATTGACAATTGTTTGGCATGCATTCAATTTCATAATTTGTAATAATTATACGACAATTCAATTACAATTGATTCAATCTTGTTGAAGCCTCAGTTTGAACACAGCCTTATTTGATTATCCGTTAAACTAACACTAGTTTGAAAAGTTTGAGGAAATTGGCTACAAGGACCAAATAATAGCTCTTATCATATCTTTGTGCTTTGTATTGAAAGGCCCTAAAGTAAGTTAATTGTCACAAATATTGTAAAATTGTAAAATTGTTATCAACATTAAACATTTTTAAAATATAAAAATAAGAAGATGTGGTATGATTGCCAATGAGACAACTCTCCACAAGAGACCAAAAGACACAGAAATTAACAACTATAGGTCACCGTACGGCTTTCAACAATGAGTAAAACCCATACCGCATAGTCAGCTATAAAAGGCCCCGAAATGACAAATGTAAAATAATTCAAACGAGAAAACTAACGGCCTAATTTGTGTACAAAATAATGAACGAAAAACAAATATGATATACAGCAACAAACGACAACCACTGAATTACAGGCTCCTGACTTGGGACAGGCACATACAGAATGTGGCGGGGTTAAACTAGTCTGAAGGCGCGCCAACCCTCCCCCTAACCTGGGACAGTGGTGTTACAGTACAACATAAGAACAAACTATAACGTCCATTATCACTGAACTAGTATATTTGTTTAGGGGCCAGCTGAAGGACGCCTCCGGGTGCGGATGTTTCTCGCTGCATTGAAGACCCTTTGGTGGCCTTCGGCAGTTGTCTGCTCTATGGTAGGGTTGTGGTCTCTTTGACACATTCCCCATTTCCATTCTCAATTTTATAAAAATCAGTTGAAAAGTTTGAATCACAATTAATAAACTGTCAAGATATATTTTGAAAGTTTCTTCTATATTTGCACAAATTACTGATATAATTATCTTAAAATCGACAAATTATACATTGAAAAAACTATTTTAAAAGATGCAATATTCAGTTTTATTCAATAGCAACTACATATTCAACATAAAAGGTAACCAAAACTTAGCGTTCAATATTCGCAGCTAAAGTACAGTAAACAAAATCACATCAAATAATTAAATTATCTTCACAAAATATGATGTTCTTGTCATTTTGAACACTCTCATACATGTGTTTGTTTTTGTGTTGTTTTGGTTTGTGTCGCATTGTCTTATTGACGAATGCTCTACATCTCTTCAAATTCATATCAAAAAGGTTCTTGCACAAAGCTTTGTTACTTTATGCCTGTGTGGAATATTATTTACAGTCAATATGATATTCTACGCTAGATTTTTCGGTGTATGTGTTGTTGTCACAAATAAGATTTTTGGTGGCCTTAAATTTGATATTTGAGGCTACTATTCCAATTGTTGCAAAGAAAACAAATCATTACAAGATATAGACGGTCTTTCAATTGAGCTTTAGAAGTAATGTAGAGTGTGGAAAAATCAAAAGTATTGACATTGCTGCAAATTTGTAATGATTGTGAATGAAGATTCGGGAGCAGATATTTAGAACATTTTAAGTACTCTGATTAACACGTGTGTTGAGTATACATCACAATAATATGTCTGCAGGCTATCTGTTACTGTAGAAAGAATTGTAATAAGATTCAGAAGAAGACGTTTAGTGCAACATTAAAGTAAGTCTTATTTATATCATTCTTCACAAGGGTAATGATGAAATGTGTGAAATTTAAGTATCGAATGTAAAGATTTTCGAATGCCATTTTTATTAAACAATAGACACTTATCTTTTGTTGAAAACTGTACATGTATGTTGACCTCCGTGTGCCTTTTGATTTTTGTTTGCATTGTCGGCTGTTTTTTTATAATTACATTTATTTATATAATGTTAATGAACATAAAGAAATAATCAGCAAATATACATGTTAATGACGTTGATTAATTGAAAAAACTACACAGACGACCGTCATCGACGTTAACTACATGCACAACAATAAATACGTAAAAAGTGAAAACAACACGTCATAATTTTCATGCTCAAAATAATCTTAATATGCATAGTGACAGGAAAGAATATGACTAGTCAAAACTCCCAACATTGCTTAATTCAGAAATCTTCTAATTTTTGTACATATTCGTGATATAAACCAACCAATCAATCAATTCTGTATTAAAAGGAATTTGATAACTTTTAGCTTTTTCAAAATAAACGGATTGATACCTTATGCATATTTTCTAAAATTTGATTAAAATTGTTTTAAACTTGTTTAAGTCTCGGTGTGAGCGCAGCGTTGTTCAAAAGTAAAATATCAAAAATATCGAAATCCAATAAAATTCAAAACGGAAAGTCCCTTATCAGAGGGCAAAATCAAAAGCTCAAACGCATCAAACGAATGGAAAACAACTGTCTTATTCCTAACTTTGTACAATAAGAATAATATCTTGACAATTATCAATAAAATTAAACCTCATTTTGAAACAATTGAAGAATTTAATACTACCGAAGATGCATGGGGAAATAATTGTTATTGTTATACATGCTTCTTTCTTTTGTTGCCAAAATGAATCTAAACAATTGAGTCTCAATTTTGTTACACATAACACATGTTTCAATGACAAAAATACACTTACAATTTAAAATATACTGAAAAAGTCAAACATTGACGCACAACCTACATAAGTGTATAAGCGACAAACACAGTTTATCCAATAATCATTTCAACAATCCGCGTGAATTCGCCGGTAAAGCACACATTGAACAATATCAATCAAAATGTGAAGTTATTATTACTGACAAAGGGTGCTCATGTCATATAAAAAGTTTTGTCATAGCGGGTTCATGTTTTGGGTAGCTATTACATTAAGGAATACCCAACATTTCATTTATTCATGATTAAAGGGTTTGTGCATAAAGATTTATAAAGGTTTCATTTGTGGAATATTGATAACACTTGAATAGTTCTTGCAATATAATATCTTCTGAGGATAATATTCACACTATATTCGTGTAATTGCACTATACATTGTTAGCTTTAAAAGTAATATAAATGTCTCAAACGAAACGACTTCATGATTCAACACAAAATGTTTAATCTTTGGTTCTTTCTTGAACGTTTTATTTACGTAACTAATAATGTTACATGTAAATATGGAAGAAAATCCCAACTTTTCATATGACAAACTGATAACATCTCTCGAAGAGAATAATACTTTCATATACCGAGATTGTAGAATCTCCGCAGAGAGTTTTGCAAAGATAATTGTTAAAAAAGAGTCTTGAATAAAAAAGGCATATACATAACTAATACCGGTACCATCCACAAGGAAGAATCTAGTCATGGGTTTGTTTTGAATCATGGTTATTCAAATATTTTATGTGGTTCTTTGTATCATCATGTAAGAATTGATATAAGCTGTTGGGTGCCAATACAGATGGTTGCTATCGTCGTTGTTCAAATATGAACTCGAGCAGGACCGGTGCCACCAGGCTCCCCCAGGATCAGCGCAATTACTAGAACTAGAATCATAATCACGATCATAGGTCGTAAAAGGGTTTCCATTGTTGCCCTGCATCCAGTTTCCTGCAATTGTAAAAAGCTCTCATGTATATAAAGACTTTTGCTACTTACACTTTCAATTTCTGACATTATGTTACTCTCGCGTGATGCACACCTTTTCTCCTGTTTACCAGGCAAACCACATTATAACTTCCTTTTTTAAAGCATGTACTTTAAAAGTACATACATATGAATTTTGTTTATCGTATTCTTGTTACCGGTTTGAATTATAATACAGTTTAACATTCATTCCATTTTTACTCATTTCTTGCCAGGAAGAGTCAAATGACACTTTTATAGTTTTTAGAATTCGTATGTAATAATATATTGCGTACGTTTTGAAATATGAATATAGTAGATGTTGGGTATACGTAAATGTGACATCAAACGAACTACAAAATAACTGAAAGACATGTAGCTGGCAGCGTATAGTCTTTAACCTCAGACAGGTACCGAGGGGACAATCCAAAATTATAAGTCGATTAAAACAGACAGCACCAGAGCAAAAATATAAAACGACAGGATCCTGTAGTTCAGTGGTTATGGTTGGTTCATGTCTGTCATATTTGTTTTTCGTAAATTGTTTTGTTATAAATTAGGCCGTTAATTTCCTCAATTTAATTGTTTCATATATTTCATGTGGGGCCTTTATGGCCGACTATACGGTATGTTTTTTCATTGTTGAAGGCCGTACGGTTGCCTATAATTGATTACATCCACTTCATTTGAACTTTTGTGGATAGTCGTCTTATTGACAATCATACCACATCTCCTTATTTTTTTTTTTATAAAAGGCGACCACAGTCTTTAAAACACTGCACAGAAAAATAAAATTGAACAACACGAAACCCTAAAAACTTGGTTTTGTTCTAATTAGCTCTGTATGATAGGCAAATCCTGATTCACCTGCGGCATTGTCTTATTGCTCATGGCAAGTTAACCATTGGTGATGTCGGAATCGAGGAAAAGAAGACTGGATTTTGACTACGACATTTTGAACATATCCAGGGTCATCTTTCACACTGGTATTCCATAACCTTCAAACAAATCATGATGGTTTTCGTTAAACTTTCGAAAGGATGACTTCAGATTTACCACAAGGAACCCATTCTCCAACACATGAAGCTTCCTTGAAAGCAGCAAGCGTCAATAATAACAAGCTCTAATTCGTTTCGGGTCTATCAAAATATTCGTTTTGAGTCTATTAATAAACCCATAGCAGCATAGACATGGTCATCCATTGACCCAGTGTGACCAACCATTGACCCAGTGTGACCATCCATTGACTAGGTCAGATGAGGAAAACATTCGTCCGTTACGCCCACTTATTACAGTGTATTTACAATAGACATTTAATCGCACGGTGTCGACAAAGGTTTTTCAACGCCTTAAAACAAACGACAATGATGTAACACAATAACGTAAATACTACATGTATACATGTATACAAACATACCCATTCATAAAATGAAGATTTTTCTAAAAAGTTTATAGGACTTTTTTTTTTAAATATGATTTATGTAATAACATCAAAAAGTTCTTTTGAAAGATTAATACATGTTCGGTGGTAATAAAATCAAATAATGGTGACAATACGATTTAGTTTTTTTATGTATAAAAGTTCGGTGTCTCATTAAAGATAATTTGAGAAAAAAATGTTAGTACGATATGACCAGTTTAGATAAACCTAGTAAGATCAATGTTCATTTAAGATTTTTTGGCGTGAAAAATAAATTCATCAAAAATGAAAGGTACCCGATCTTATTCCTAAAACATTTGACTTGGCATTATAATTCTATTTTCAACGATTTCATCATACTGATATATTCATTTAATTTCTTTTTTGAGGCCTTATTTTTTGGGCCCATTGATAGCAAAAACAGCAAATATCAAATATGAAATAACAAATAGGAAAATAAGTAAAAAATTAAAATATCACCCGATCATTTTAGTTCTCCTGACTAGATATATTCTTTGCACATGAATTGTATGAAGTATTCTTTAAGACTCCAACAATAACATTTGCATGAACATATATATCATTCAAGTATAATATGAAACCTGTCGTTTAGTTGAACAAATACGATTACATTTTGTGTGATCACAAATCTCGGCTCGTAATATTTAATGAGTTTCGTTGTTGAAAAAAAAACTTAACAATTTATGGAAGTAACCAATGTGTTGATTGATGTAGACTATTTATAAATTAAATGCCAAGAAGAGTATATGTCAATCAGACAGCATCTCAGTGACACAAATTATCAAAAGACATCAAATCATAATTAATTCTTAACAAAAAAGACACAGAAGAAAAGAAATGTAAAAATTGTCAAACTGAAAAGCTTTTTCTTTAAATGCAACTGTCCCGTTGGTTGGTTAGAAGTTAGAATCGGGAATATCAAGTTGGATATTATATTTTTTTCCGGTTACCGTAACCATGGTAACTGTGTTTCAATGAATTACATGATATATAATAAAGAAACCACATGATAATTTGTAGGTTATTATGTCAACATAAACCTATAACAGTACAATTATACGCATGTTTTTTCTTCAAGTGTGACTACTAGTATACATGTTTTGTTCGAAAACATATTTTTTTTTAAATACAATGAATATAGCTAGACTTGAAGTTATACAATGCAGTAACACTTTTTTATATTTGCAATTTAAAAGTTTACAAATAATCAACATTAAGCGTAATGTACTCTTTGTAAGTCTCTCAATTTATCTCACGCCGGTTGTAAAAATAACCTTATAGGTTACATTAATGCAACACGCGGGAACCCGATATGAATGAACTAGTGAATTTTCTCGACATCTATGCAGTTTCAGTGTTCATTCTAAATGTTCTCGGCAATTACGATATGAATGTACTTGACTCTAATTTGAACTTCATTAAACAATACTGGCTGTTTAATCTAAACATTCATATTGATTAAACTGAATCTAAACTACATGTATATTTTTCAAGACTTCTGATTCTGTCAAGTAAATATATGTATCAGAAATAATATAGTTTATCATTTTAGGATAAACTGGTTTAATCAAAGTGAAAACTAATTCTTTTCCGGAAATATTTTCAGATCGATTCAAATTTTACCCTCCATTCGTAATACGTGACGTCATTTATGCGTCAACCAAATCCAAAATGCTGCTCGCATTCTTGGTAAAAAATCGAATCCATCGGACCCCTTCCAACAGCAATCATGAAACCACCTAAGCAGCACAGAAAACCGGCAGCAAAGTCTAAGTCACCACCAAAAGACAAAACTAAGCGAAGAAAATCTCAAACAAAGCAGTCAGTCTATATAATGAGGGGTGACATGTCATCGCACCATGCCGCTTCAAAATCCCCAACAAAACCTCAAAGTATTACAACATCTCTGTTCCGAGGCTAAGCAGGGAAGAAAATATGCCCTTGAATAGTAAATACAACAGAAAAAATTGGAACTCGGCAGGACGAAAGAGCAAAAAGTCTAGAAACATTAGTGTCATTCCAACGCCAGCAGTTACCAATCTTACCAACACTGACTCTTGGTTACATTTCAATGGACAGAGCGAGTGATCATCATGAGATGGCTGGAATTGGTGCAACGTTCCACAACAGTTTACGGGTATCTTTAGCCATACAATTCTCAACATGTTTATGTTACACGGGTGTGTCACGGGGTTTTGATTTAGGAATTGTAAGATAAAGTGTACATATCCCGGTCATATGAAGGAGAAATTTCGGCCGGGAAAAATATAGATTTACATGTTTTACTAAAGTAAGAGAGACCATTGTTTTGTTCAAATAAAAGAACTGGGTATCACAAAAAAATGAATATTGAATTTTATAGTCTCTGAAAAATGCTGTCGCTGTAATTATTACTTTCAAAATTAAAGGGCACCGATAAAGCTATAAAAAAATTACATTTTGTGGCAAGAAAACCGACAAAACTTAAATTTAGTAGACTACAAAGGTTTTGGCAGCTGACTCTGAATCAAATAGGGATCTTGAGGTAAAAGGGGACGAATTAACAATTATACCATATACACAGAGCACCATTACAAATATACATGTATGGACATCTGCCTTTATCATATTAATGGCAGTTGTGCTTGAAAAATGGTCCAATAAAGAGAAAGAGTGTTAAGTACATGCATAATATTCGATTAGCATACATTAGAGGGTATGGTTCGGGCCGGTCAGTATATGATGAACATTGATATGGAGTATGGGTATTGTACGTTTCTATACCCATAAAATCTTTTCATTCACACATTAGTGCTAATCATACTCTTGACGATTAAGGTAGCACGGTAGTATTTGCATTCAAGAACTTAGGTTGCTCTTTTGTGTACGGTGTACCCTACTTAAGTCAATGTATCTGAACAGTGCGATTGGACAAAGAATACAGTATCAACTGAACATACTTTCCAAAACTGAGGGATGAATCAGGTGTAGAAAAATATGAAATAATTTTACATACAGGTGAAAAAGAATTTTTGGAGAATTTTTTAAAATTTTGTATTCACCGCACGATAAAAGACTTAAAAGCACTAGTGGCCTTAGGTTTTTAAAGATATCAAAAAAGTAAACGGTCATAATACATATTCAAATTCATTTCTGAATAGTATAAGGAAAGTACTTCAGTTAACTGTTAATGTAGAATTTTGGGCAGTGTTAGAAAGTGGTGAAAATTCTAAAAAGGCTATCATTATCCCTTATGGGCCAGAAAATACTACCGTGCCCCCTTAACTGGGAGATATATGTTTACACTAAATCAATAAAGGTATTTTTTTACCTATTCAATTTGTAAGTTTATCAATAAAAAGTTGATTAAGGGCAACTAGAATAAAAACAGACCTTAAATTCCACCCCTGGGAGTGAAAATTGCTGATTCAGCAAATTTTGCCTGATCTGTGGGTTATAATGTTAAAATTTACCTAGAAAGTAGAACTTCATTATTTTTATGTAACTTGCGATACATTTTTAATTATAAATGTTCGCTTTAACTTTTCGCAGTGTCTGACACATGTGCAACAGCTGGAATTTGAGACGCGACCTATTTTAGTTGCCTGCACGTCCTATTATTTTCACCGAAATGAATAAAGTGCATAATTTCTTATTTTTTTCCACACAAGTACAGCTATACTAGTTTTCTTTAGGTTTGATTTGTAGTTCTGTGGTAACATGACACCAGTATGAGCATTTTTGGAACCAGTAAGTGGTTAGGGTCCTTACTTATTCATTTAGCCCTCATATTTAGCTGAAATAGAGATAGCAATAGGGGTTTCTTTACATTGACAAGACATTTTTTGGGAACAAAGTATGTGATTATGATTGTATATCAGCAAGATTAAATAGTTTATTCATTTTCCATGCAAATGTCATTAATTTATTTGATTTTCTGACCCTGAAAAGCACAATAAAGCTAAATTGATTATGTAAGGGGACATAATTTAACTTGATGCATACATGAGAAATAGATAAACAGTCAACTAAGAGATATATTCTAGTACATGTATTGTCAAAAAGATCTTTGAATAATAGTTAACTGCCATCTGAAGAGTCTTGTTATATTGCCTTCATAATCTGGAAATGCTTAAAGGAATGTAAGGCATGCTGTAAAATGTGTAATGGACTTTACTAACATTTTTCATGATTTGGTGCTTAAACTGTTTCTTTCAGTCAGATTAACTATAAATAGAGTTGGCAATCCAATAATTCCTCCTGAATCACCATGGTTTACTTCTGTGTTGATTTGAAACAACATATATTTGGGTTTTGTTCACTCCTTAAGTAAAAATGTTTAGAAGAAAAAAAAGTGAAAATCTGCCAGCTGGGGTAGGGGTATACTTTTTAATTTTTTTTTGGTAAGAAATAAGTGCAGATTAGTATTATTTATTGTAATTTGTTTCCTAGTCAGCAGTTTATGCATCATAGGTGTCATGATTGATTTCAAGTTTGTAAGGTCTTGGTTAAGGTAGCACGGTAGTATTTGCATTCAAGAACTTAGGTTGCTCTTTTGTGTACCCTACTTAAGTCAATGTATCTGAACAGTGCGATTGGACAAAAAATACAGTATCAACTGAACATACTTTCCCAAACTGAGGGATGAATCAGGTGTAGAAAAATATGAAATAATTTTACATACAGGTGAAAAAGAATTTTTGGAGAAATTTTTTAAATTTTGTATTCACTGCACGATAAAAGACCTAAAAGCACTAGTGGCCTTAGTTTTTTAAAGATATCAAAAAAAGTAAACGGTCATGATACATATTCAAATTCATTTCTGAATAGTATAAGGAAAGTACTTCAGTTAACTGTTAAAGTAGAATTTTTGGCAGTGTTAGAAAGTGGTGAAAATTCTAAAAAGGCTATCATTATCCTTTATGGGCCAGGAAATACTACCGTGCCCCCTTAAAATGGATTCCAACACGATCATGCTATTAAATCACAAGATGTTAAACCATTATCTGTGACCTGCAAGGATTACAACTTCCGTATATGTGATAATGAGACAGCTGTATTCTTTTTGAAATATTCCCCTATTTAGTTAATGAAGCTGAAATCTTTTAAATCAACGGAAGAAAACTAAAATTGGTTTTCGATTTGGTTTCAAATTGCGAATATTTTGGTTCACGGCGTAACCTACATGTTACCAAGTTTGAATTTGCGCACTGAGCTTGTCCAAGAAAATGAGTACGACAATTGTCAATGATCGGATGATGATGAATCAAGCAGTCGCTACAATAGTCAGTAAACAAAAATCTTCAAAAGCCCATTTTGAGTTATATCCAATTTTAGAAATTTAGTTTTTCCACTCTGAAATATATTCTCTTAATAAATTATAGTATAACCTGATGAAGTGATGCCTCACCTGATTCTTTTTAAAATACATCCTGCGTCCTGATGCGTTAGTTATACAGTATCGACATAAAGCTTGCCAGAAAGTGTGTAAACATCCGGGTAAGGAACTAAGCACTGAGCATCAGTGATTGCAATTATAAAACAAAAATCTGGCACTGAGCATCAGTGATTGCAAGTATAAAACAAAAATTTGTCATTGAGCATCAGTGATTGCAAGTATAAAACAAATCTGGCACTGAGCATCAGTGATTGTAAGTATAAAACACAAATCTGTACATGATTTATATGATATGATAATAAAGTATTTCCATTATAATGCACTTAATATATGTGCTACAGAAAGAAATGTATATGGAAATGATGGGACATACTAATCCAAGCTTGCTAAAAAAGTATGTAAACAATTTGCAAGGTGCACTTGAAAGGTTCCTGACACCGGAAGGACCACTTATTGTTAAGCGTCGAGAATATTAAAAGCTGTTGTAAACAGATAAGCAAGTGAGACCGGTAAGGGTGATGCTAATAATTTTCAGTGGGGTTTCGGGGGGAATTGTACCAGTGAAGCACAGGCTTGCCAAAATTAATGGTTCGGCGGTTTGTATGTTCATCTTGCCTCATCTTTCATACTCTGGCCATATCCATCCATAATATTTGTTGTTTGTCTTTAAACTTGACCAAACAAAAAAAAAAATCGAAAATTATATTGTTCACAACCTAACATGGGTCAGAATATGGGTTGACCGTACATGAAACGTCTGCATAATTAATAGAACAGAATATAAGATATAGTGTATCAATACATGACACGAAATCACTGCACGCACACGGAAAAACAAAGATCAAAGGTACAACACCCTTCTTGCTGTTCTTAATCTCAAAGTCACCGTTGGGTCTAACGACAGCCATCTTTGATTAAATATAGAATAGTTCAGGTTCAGCTAAATACTATTTATTCTTTTCAGGTATGGTGAAAATGAACCAAGTACAGTTCCAAGTGCTTTCAAAAATATCGAATAAAATGTAGCACTATTCAGTGCAGTTTTCACAAAAATAAAAACAAACTAACTAAACTCTGACTGTTCGAATCTACTAGTAGAGGCAAAATTTTGCAAAGTATAGAACAAAATATAAAAGTATTGAACCGATGTTCAGTTAATACTTCAGAAATCAAGGAATTAAACAGCTGCATGTGAAAAACCCTCCACTGGATTCCAGAGTCACAGCCTGTAGTATGTTATGTTGCCGCTGCTGGTTGACTGTTTCTCCATGCTGGAACCATCCGCACAATAGCCATTGATTTCGTACAGAATGATAATCATGATACATGATTGTACATTAAATTTTCAGTTTTAAAATTATGTAAAACATGGGTTTCGACTTCACATAGCAAATCTGATCTTTAACGAGTTTTCATCTCTGTTAGGTCATTAGTTGGTTAAGGTGCAGTTATATATTTGGTGTTTTACGCTTGCAAGAGCATTGGGTGTGTATAAAACCAGAGATAACACGCAGTCATCGGAAAGATTCAGTCATTTCTATCTATATTCTGTATGATGTGAACTTTCAGTGTGTACAGTTGTACAATCCTACACACTGATATGAAAGCTTTTATGTTTGATTATTATTGTCAATATAATTCAGAGTAAGATAATTACACCCATAAAGAGTAATATTTGATAAAAGGAGAAAGTACTATAGGGCCACTGTTTTACCCACTAATAACCATAATATAATAGAGAATGGAAACGGGGAATGTGTCAAAGAGACAACAACCCGACCAAAGAGCAGAAAACAGCCGAAGGCCACCAATTGGTCTTAAACGCAGCGACAAAATCCTGCACCTGGAGGCGGGTTAAAGCTGGCCCCTAGCAATATTGCATACTAGTTCAGCGAAATGGACGCCACTAAATCCGAAACATACAAATGAACCAAAATTTCAAAAACACACAAGACTGACAAAGGCTCGAGATTGGGACAGGCATTAAAATGCGGCGGGGTTAATCATGTTTTGTGATCTTTAAGTCTATTGTATGTTAAATACTATTGCGGCATGTTAGGCTGCTTTGAAAAGTTGGTCCAGTTCAATATATAGCATTGTGTTCACTGAGGAAATTCTAGTCTATACCATAGAGCTAGTAATTTTATGACAAGCGTTTACAAGAAAATGAGATGACTTACCTGCAGTTCCATTGTATCCATTAATAGTTAATGTATATCTTGATGCTGCATCACCCACTGCAAATGTACTATACTCAGCATAATACATGTGGCCGTTGATGTTAACAAGTTCCACTCGTAGTTTATATGATCCACTTCTGGTTAGAAGATTTAGGCATTTGTTACCTAGTTAAAGACATTTAAATATATTTAAGATGCATATTTTTATATGATTTGGGCGTGCAATTAAAAACCAGAAAAGAGAAATATGAGCTGCGTCGGATAGAAATCGACCTTATGCAAATGAATATTATTATCTGTTAACTTATTTCGGGTTGATTGATTGGTGATTGCTTTACACCGCATCAGCGTAAAGCAATCACCAATCAATCAACCCGAAATAAGTTCGGGTTGAAAAAAAATCTCTATGCAAAGTATTTAACTGTTTGAAAATAAAGTTGATATAAGAACCCTACAAAACAGACCAAAATTTATCTTATATTTTATATTTGAATGTTCCAAAATCAAGCAAAGTCTTGTACATGTACATGTATACGTGCACTTGCATAAGGTCGATTTCTATCCGACGCAGCTCATATCTTTAAAATAGATTGCTGTTTGCAATAAATGACAGCCATATAAAAACTGTTATGTATGAATATTTCCCCATTTTAATTATGCAAATAACAATATGGCAATTTGGAATGATTACCAATCAGACAAGTATCTACCATAAAGCAAAGAACGAGGATGTTAGCAAATTAAGGTCACCGGACGACATTGAACAGCATTCAGTAATTTGCAATATCCATACCGCAAGGTAATCTATCGAAGGAACTTAAGTGGTAAAAAATAAAACAATTTAAAAAAGACTAGTGTCGACATGATTTAAGTAAATAACATTAGATTTAAAAAAAACAAAAACAATCACGACAGACAACAACCAAAGAAAATCATAGGACTTGAGACAGGAACATAATTAATTAGGCGGAGTTGAACATTTTTGTGAGCGCTCAACCCTTTCCCGACAGGTCAGTAGGGACAATGGTATAAAAGTTCAACATTTCAATTGATTAATTGGTGTTTAACGCCACTTTTAGCACTATTGTGCTATTTCGTACTGGTCAGTTGTTATTAGCAGGGGAAGCTGTAGTGCCCGGAGGGAACCACTGACCTTTGGTAGGAAAACTCACAATTCTAGTCAATTAAGATTGGAGTCAAGCGCACCTGCCACGTGCAGGACTCGAACTCACAACCTTAGTGTTGACAGGCTAGTGATACAGTAGCTCCACTACTTAGACCACTCGGTCAATGCGGACCATTCAACATTACAACAAACTGTAATCACGGGCTTGACTCATTAGTTCTGCTCTTTTCACAAAATCAACTTATATATTTACAATAGAAACAAAGTTCTGTCTTTTTTTGGGACAGATCATTATAATGCTATTCTTGCATCACTTGCACATTTACGTAATAGTAAAATCTAATCATTGCAATCGACAAAAAAAAAAGATGTGCCCACAATAGATTCAATAAATGAATAAATACAATTCTAAAAATACATTAATTTTGTAATTAACATATACCAACCAAGCCAAAATTCATTCTGAAGATCACCAAACCCATTCTCATACTCTACCCAGGTCCTTCTAAAATTTTCACTTCCGTCTGTTCTTCTTTGAAAAACCTTTGAGATAAACATTACAAGTCGTAATATTGTAAATGAAACAATTTTTTACCAAAGACTGAGATTGAGATATGTGGTCGCGTTGACTTTTGATATAGCAGTATAATCCAAGCTTAAGAGGGGCGTGAGTTTGACCGAGCAGGATGTATAAATATAGAGCGACGCACGGTCACAATGAGAACATTGAATTCAATGCGTCGTGTACACAAATTGTCATTTTCTGTGTTTGTTGAAGAACCCTTGCAAACATCTTAGAGTTGTTAGTAAGCAATGTTTCTGCGCATATTCAACATTCCCTCATTTTCTAATGACAGTCCACATTGTCCGGTAAGTATCCCGGTTGACCCACTTTTCGGAACCTATATATTGTATTTATTGTTAATTTGCTCTTGTCCTGAATGTGCAGTATATAATTTCCATTATACTTTAGAATGAAATTATAAATGCGTAGAATTAAGTTCATAACAGGTGGATGTGGACAACTTGTATTTACACGTTATCGTGTCTGTCACTGGCTTTCGACAACAAAGATATCACGCAATTACAGTATGTCAGGGTCATCTATATGGGGATGTACATAATTACTATCTTTACAGATTTCCATTCATAAAATAAACGTTTTGCATAAAATTTTATATAGATTTGTTTTTAAATATGATTAATTTAATCACATCAGAAAGTTTTTTTAAAAGAATAAGTAGAGGCAAAACAGTTACAGCTTGGATAATCGTAACCCATATTTTGTTAATTATAACGAATCATTTACATATCGGCAATCGATAACGATGTTTTTTTTCTTTTGCAAACATTGTCTGTCAGAGGCCTTCCAATGGGGATGTCAATAGTCACTTGTTTCACATTTTGATAAATAATTTATAACTTTCTTCCAAGAAAAGTTAAAAAGAATTAATTTTAAATATTCGTTTTATCATCACATCTAACAGTTTGATTTGAATAATTAATGATACGAGCAGAGCTAATATCATTAAAAAATATAAAAATATATAAACACATTTCGATTTTCATTGTAAAAAACTTTTTGAAGTTTATGGGGTTATTTAACAAAATTTCTTAGGAAGAAAAAAAAAATACGCTTACGTTATGAACATTTAAGAGTAACCTACTATTTATTTAAAGGATAAGATTCGTTTGTGAAAAGAGCTCTGGATATGACAACAATTTTTTTCTCATTTTAACTGCATATTTTCCGAATCACATCATTTGGATCATGCAGTCATATAGAAGACTCGTACGGTCAGTTTGCCTTTGATATTCAAGTATTGCACTACTCTACTCAATTATCTCTATCTATGTATATTTCTAAAGGTAAAAGTAAATAACTCAAAGACTTTTCTATTTCTATAATGCTTTATGTAAAGGGAAAACCGGTTCAGTTTGGTCTTTGTAAAGATCGTGTGAATCAATTAGTATCAAAAACAGAAATTGAAATGAATGAATAAATAAATATTAGAAATCAGAATAAGAAACAAAATGACAAGGTCTGCATTTGCTTTAACTAATTGACATTCATAATACCGGTACCATATAACAACATCCAAAGATATTGTGTGCAAAAAAGAATGTTTTGAAGCCATTTAACCGAATTTTGACAATCGCTTTCCCAATTTTACTTGATAAATGAAAACTGTATGCGACTCCCGATTTTGGAACCTGGATGCATTACTTACATGTATTTTGGGTTTTAATCTCGTTTGTCAATAGGGCTGCTGATTCGCGAACGAAATCTTTTAGTCTGTTTATTCATCCTTGTGGTTGTAGTTTGGGTATTTCGCTCGTTTGTTTGTCGTGTACGAATGTCTGAACTTTTTCGGTTCGGTTAATTTATTCATAATATAAGTGGCAATGGCTTGAATATTAAAAACACTCTTTTCATAGCAACGACAGAATTATTCTTGAATCTGAGCTTAAACTAAATATTTTATATCGTGTTCTGTAACTGTAAACTCAAATAAAGAAAAAGTAAGATAAATTCTTTTTCCGACAATGTGTGAAAAATTGTATTGTATGTAATGCAGTTATAAACAATTGTAAACAAATAGTTGTCCATCATGCATGCCACTCAATCACTGGCCTGGTCAATGGCCAAGGTAAACAAATTGCTTTATTTGTAAACAAACCCTGATATGTGTATTGGCAAAAGTATTCGCATGCTGAATATTGTATATCCGTATAAGGAAATGTATCCCACCTGTTAAATACAGCTCTTTGATCAAAACAATCGTAATTAGAATTGTACTTATTTTTTTTGGAATATGTGTTTTAAAATCTATCAACGAATTAAATAATGTGTTCACAATACCTTTGTATTAGAATATTTAGACGAGAGCTTCAGACTAAAGTGATCAACAGGAACACATATGTTATTATTACACTGTAAGAGGTTTATGGTGACATAATAACCCACACATTTATTAGGTTTTCCAGTTGACCAGTTTAGTCTTGAGTGCTCTCAATTTATTTATTATTTTAATGTGACCATACAACTTATGCTTTATACCATGCTCTGTAAACGTAGACACACAAGAAGAAATAGTCAAATGAATTCTTTTATCGAAAATTTGAGTTGTAGGTCACTGCAAAAACACGTTTTCATGGTGAGTACGTAGTAGTCCATCATTCATTGCATTATTAAAAGGATTGGTCAATTTTGTAAGGCAAAGCATATTACTTCTTATTCAAAAGAACAAATGTATTTGCGAAAACATTAGTATGCCGAAGAGTATGTGTATCCAAACATGGAAGTGTACCTGACACGATTTAATGTATCAAAGTTTCGGGGCGATACATATTATGTTAAGCATTCCTCAATCATTCAGGAAGAAACTGAAAAAAACCTGTTAAATTTAACTTTAAAATAAAGAACAAAAAATACGACACTGATATTAAAAAATATTGTTCCTGTATAGATGTTCATGAGAAAAATAAACAATGCCCCCCCCCCCCCCCCCAAAAAAAAAAGAGAAAAAAACAACACACAAAGATGATTGTCGGTGCATAATCATGAATTCAAGAATACGGGTCTGCTGCCAAGCATGGGTTTTTCTGAAGTTAAGTGGTTAGCAGAAAAGTTTTTGTTTCCTATACATCAAAAATGTATTATTCTAGACAATTTCAAGACCTAGTCCGATTGCCGAGTCAGTCTGGAAAACGTTGGACCAGCTTATTTGAATACTTTCAAAACTCTAGCGTTCGAGTTAATAACTTACTGCAACAAATAATCATATTAAGATATTGATAATGATTTCTATTTCATGAAGTAAATGCAAATTGTTTTAAGCTAGATCCAAATAGCTGTTAACCTTCCAATATCTGGCAAGTACGAAAAAGACCGTGCGAAAGCATATGTTTTAATTGCACCACGATTTAAAGCGTATCATGCATTCTTTCTAGATTTAAGATTGTAAGCAAGATATGAGGTGAAAGTTACGAAAAGCAAGTATAAATTTTAGAAAACCACAATCCGAAAAAGTACTAACACATTAATTTCTACTTTTAAAGCTAGCTGATTATTTTTGTGTTTAAAGGACGTGCGATATCATGTCAAAGTATTCAAGGCTAATCAAAACACAAGGTTTAATCCTGTAGTATTTTTTTGAGTTATTTGTTTTAAGGAATTAAGAAACTTTTGGCAACCACGTACAACGTATTAGGTGGACGTAATAGACGAACGTTTACCAGATCATACAGAGCCAATAAATGACCACATCAACGCTGTTATGGGTTTAATAGTATATTCAGACGTGATATCATCAAGAAATCGAGGAAAAACGGTTTTTTTTCCTTGCACAAAACTTAACTTCTGTGGCCCATTAAGTAAAAGTACGAACAAATCTATTCGTCCGAGTTGAGAAGCCTACGATCAATTTTCATCCTAAGATTTTTTTTGGGAATAAAAACCCCGAACCCATTCAAACTACTAATACAAACGTATTCCTAAACATAAAACAACCGCCTACGTTGAAAAATTCCAGCTTTAATTGGCTAAAACAACCAATAATGTGACGAGGAAGGGAACTAGACATATTTAACGGTAAAATCGTAGATTTGGCAACACTAACTCGTACACTTCTAGGAAAATGCCCAGTAGAATGGATGGCACAATGAGTCTATAGCATAACAATTATGCATGAGTTAACGGGGAACCGCACAGAAACTACTAGGCGACGCAAAGTCGAATGTCTTGACAGATTATTACTTACTCAAAGACATGCTAAGCAGACAGTTCGTACCGAGAGAACGCATTACTGCTTATAGGTGTGAATTTAACAGTAGAGATCGCTTGAAAAATGAACCATTTCAAGATTATGGATATGCCCTCCAAAGGCTAGTACTGTTAGACACTATCCAGAATTATATAAGACGGAAGATCTAGCTATTGTCTAAATTATCAAAGGATAAGACAAGTTTGAATTGTAGAAACGCGTTCAGTACTTGCATCCGGCAATTTTGAAGTGTAGAAACGCGTACAGTTCATGCATCCGACACCTTTAGAAAGTGTGATTGCACTAACTATCGAGTTCGAAGCATTCGTTGGTTCTTTGTTGACCGAAGAACGTAAAACAAAGAAACAAATTAATGAACATGCTATACAAGCTGTAAAAAAAATGGTTTGAAAAGACTGACTGAGAATGCTAAGGTACAAACAGATCTGACTGTACCTACTCAAAACAATTTTAAATTGCTTTGCACAATTAGGAAAGAGAATTGAAGAAATTAATAAAATAATTCCCCAAAAATGTTTAAATTGTAAAAAAAAAAAGATCATTTAGCTAAAGATTGTAGGGTACCAACTTGTTTTAACTGTCAAAAAGTAGACCACATATCTAAAGACTGTAAAGATCCAAGAGCAAATAAAAGACAAAATAATTCAAATAAAGCTTTGAACAAGGAAACCTGGGTTCAGGGTGAGAACACCAGGCTTTACAAAGATAAGAGATCCAATGTAAATGTACACCAAATTAAACAAAGTGGTCTTTTTG